AATACAATGTTCCAGATAGAAGACAGACTATAGTCTCTCTATACAATGTTCCAGATAGTGGACAGACTATAGTCTCTCAATACAATGTTCCAGATAGTGGACAGACTATAGTCTCTCAATACAATGTTCCAGATAGTGGACAGACTATAGTCTGTCAATACAATGTTCCAGATAGTGGTCACACTATAGTCTGTCAATACTAGAGCTGTGTATCGTGGCCTAAGTGGCGAGACGATATATCCCGATACTAGTTTAATGAGGCGAGACGATATATCATGAAAGTATTGGCAAGGAACCTGCGAGACGATTGTCATCACGATACAGTGATGGTGATACGATACTTATCCCGATACTTTACAATCCTAAAAACAGGACATATATGATAGATAAAATGACTGAATCTTTATTTGTTATTCAGCAGAACATGTGTTACATTCACACACACTTAAAAGGCTGTTCATGTAATAAAGTTTCAGCATTTAATGTTTAAGAAAGTACAATCAAACATATTCAGTATACCTTGCTCTAGGTTTCCCTTGGAAAGTTGTGTTTCTGCACCAATGCTTGCACAGGCAATTTATACAGTAATTTATACCAGAATCACTGCAAAAAAACTCATAAGTATGCTTTCTAAATTTTATCTTCTCTTTCTTAACAAAGCTAAGACATCGTTCATAGTTGTTAATAAATGGTTCACAGAGATTGTTCACATTCTTTCACTGATAGACTAACTCCTTTGTTCATGTAACAAAGATGGCAGACACAAACAAATTCCTTTTAGGTTCAGTTTGTTTTTAAAATTCAGAAAAATTTCAAAGAGACTCCCTTCCTATTACTTATGCAATACTCCCTACAACTTTAAGTAATATTTAAGTTGTATCGGGATATATCGTCTCTTGTGGCGATACATCGATGTATCATGGACCCTCGCGATATAAATATCCTAATATATTGCCTAAACGTGTTTTGTATCGATGCACTCGTATCGCGTAGTTGACGATGCAAACATCGATACTATCGACGAATCGTTACACCACTAGTCAATACACTGTAAGAGGTGAGGTGAGGTGAAATTGAGTTTAACGTCGTGTTTGAGAATATTTCGCTCATATGACGACGTGCATGCGTGTGTATGTGTATGTGCGGCTGCTTGTACTAGCCCAGACTTAAGCTGGTTTTTTAGTGCTAGCTCACTGACATACCATGCCGCAGTGAAGCATGAATACCCACTCAGACACAGTATACTGACTATGAGCCGACCAGTCCTTGTTGTACCCATTAATGCCGAGCGCCAGGCAGGGACCAACAAGTACCCTATTTTAACGTCTTTTGGTATGACGCGGTCGGGGATCGAACCCGCGACCTTCCGCTCTCCCACTAACCACTACACCACGGAGGCGGTCATACACTGTAAGAGATAGAAGATAGACTATATAGTCTCCCAATAGCATGTGCAATTCAGGGGAATGATACGACTGCACAATCCAATGCTTGTTGAAGTGGTATCACCACTGGCTACAAATAATGTACGATGGCAACATGTTTTGAACGCGCTTTGTTGATAAAGGTTGTTTGTAGTTAGATTTCGCATATTATAAATGTTACCGAGGAACACAACTTGCACATGTAGGTATTAAAATTGTTTTATGTGTAAAATGAGTTTTATCGGTGCATTTCATTGTAATGAAATTCGAACCGAAGAAATACTGAAATTTACAGAAAACACAATTAAAAGGCGGACTGTTGTGGTGAAGTAACAATTAATAAGATTAACCTCAAACCCCGAGATTGATTTCATTCAAACAATTTGACTTGTAAGGTACCACGACGGAATATTTACTGAGTGTATACTTTCCTTGTAATGGGTGGTTATAGAGTATTTTGTTATCAAATATCCTGACGTTGTTCAGTAGGGTTGTAAGGATTGATCCGACTAACGCTTATACAGCTGTATTTGTCTCGAAGGCAAAGAAACAAAAATTGAGCGTTAACATAGATGGTAAAATACAATAAAAATGTAGTAAGCCATTTACTTTCCCATTTTGATTATGTAATCCGTGAAAATAATGTATTTGTAATGTGTGTACTTAATAAGAAGCTACAAAGTACAATCACACCTGGCTACACCGCCAAACTGGTTATACCGCCAAACTGGTTATATCGCCAAACTGGTTATACCGTCATGAGTTGCCAGAACGGATTCCCTCTATATATAATTCCCTGGATATAACGCCAAGTTAGATCACCAAATCCATGTTGGTGTAATGCAAAAGGTAAAACCTTTCCTTTTACTCAGAACAATAGAGTATTTTTTCTAAGAAAGTGTTTTTTTTCTCCAAAACATGTACATGGTTTCATATCTGGAGATATAATAATCCTCTTACTATCACAACAGCTTTGTGTAAGCAGAAGTGAAGTTAATTGGTGTACAATATTCAACAAAAACAACAACAAAACATCACGAAGTCAATTGTACGTGTGACACCATAAGCTTGGAGGTGAAACGTTGACATGACTTGAACCAAGTCATCCAGGCAGTGCTTACGATCCATTAGCAACAAGCATAGGTTGCTGGAGAGCACTTCTAACACGGATCCACGATGATGTTTTCAAAAGCACGTATACACGTGAGTTGTGGTACATTTACCTTATGTGGAGGAATGGTATATATCTTTCAAGCATTTACAAGGGTGGAGTGTGTGAGTGTGTGTGAGTGAGAGAGAGAGAGAGAGAGAGAGAGAGAGAGAGTGTGTGTGTGTGTGTGTGTGTGTGTGTGTGTGAAAATGACACGTTGAAGACAGAACAACGAAACAGTCATAAAATCACTATTTGATGCCCGAGATACAGCATTCCACGTTACCAACAGCCGGTACTCCCCATACTCCGAAACTGTATTAAATATAATATATCAAAGACAATATGTCCACATTGTTCGACCAGTCTCATCAAAAGCTTGTAACGATACTTCTTCACAGTCTCTTACAGTGATGATGTTGTTTAAAAGAGCTTCTTTGGTGATTCCTAATGTGTTCATTCGCCGGTAAAAAGCTAAGTGCCAAGGCTTGTGTCTGTTCCGTGCTTGCTTATTTTCCCAATTGAAAACATAGGGCTCTATATAACATACGTTCTTGGTCCATATTCATCATTCTCCTCCAGTAACGAATCAAACATATATCTTGTCGTACACTTAGTTGCAGGGTTCCATCCCATGTCACCAATAACTTCTTCATTAGCCTCGACTTCACTTGCTTAGACCTAGGTAAAATCTCATTGCACGGTTTTGCATTGCGTTGATTGATGAATAGTCCTCTGTTCCATAGATTGAAATGCCTTAAGTTATAACTGGCCAAAGTAATGCACCGTACAGCTTGGTAATTGTTTTGAAACCGCGTTACGTAATTAGAAGATAAAGCTACTCTGTTTTCAATTTTGCGGTCCTCTATCGTTGATTTAAAAACCGCTAAATGTTTAATTTAGCGGTCTTAAATCAACGATAAAGGACGGCAAAATTGAAAACAGAGTAGCTTTATCTTCATTCTAGCACGACTGATAAGCGTTTTAAAACCGAACTGTTTGGCGCGCAAGGCGCAAAGGGGCCTTTTTCCTGGAAATTACTTGGAATCGTCCCGTTGAGGGACAGGTTGTGTAATGAACAAAATAAGACATTTTCAACAACATAAATGCTATATTTCAGGAACCAGTATGCTTGTATTTGTAACAAATAGCATACATAAATAAAAAAATACAGTTTATACTTGTGAGCAAGTACAATTATGTGATTTTTCTCAAGCGAATTATTGATCTCCCCTACTGTATTGCAATCGACTCGCCCAAATGCAAGCCGTGAACTCGCTAAGTTTAGTCGCCGCTAACTTTATTCACGGAAATAATTGTTGATAACCACCCTACTATTCCCAATTTGGAAAAGACCTGACATGCCACGTTTTATGTGGGATACATGTACAGTGGAAGTGGAAGGACTGGGCATTACGGCCGGGGCGGAAGCGGTCAGGTTAAGACGTGTGGGCTGACGTTTGTTGTCGACGTCAACACACGTAGATCTGGACCCGCTTTGAATATACTGCCACTTTTGCGCTGCTGACGGATTTTCCAGCTTCGTAGTTTCTTCACTGGGATTAGGGTCAAGAAATTCTTCTTCAAACCATTCGCTTTTTACTTCAAAAACACCAAAGATGCTGCCGAGATAGAAATTGCCGATGTCCGACATGTATGGTCAACGAGTTCGTTGTATTCATACGCGGTGAATCGGTCACTTTAATTACGGTTTTGATGAGCTCTCAGCCAATCAGAATCGAGTATCACACATTGTCGTGCTAGAATCGATAACAATAGGTCTATCTTCGCGGTTTGTTCAGACTCTATTTGAGGCGGACGTCTTCGTTCCTGAGTCTTTTACATGCAAACAATTAACTACTTGACGTACTTGCAGCCTATGTTACACGTGACATGCTTAGTTGTCGACAGTTGATACCTTGTGCTAATTTAGTCCACAATCTCAAACATAAGACAACAATCTCCTTGTAAATATATATAATAATTATAAACACATTCAATTAAGTCATCATTTATTAGTCACATGATCAAAGCGGGTCCGGGTAACGTGACGGGTACCTGGGTCCAACTCATAATTACCCACCGTCCCGGGTACCGGGGTTACCCAGCCCTAATTTCTTTCACATAACATGTATATCGGTACACAGTGAACACCACTGAGCCTTACTGAAACTACATCTACAATGTATTATACCTGGAATATCGGTATACAATGGACACCACTGAGCCTTACTGAAACTACATCTACAATGTATTATACCTGGAATATCGGTATACAATGGACACCACTGAGCCTTACTGAAACTACATCTACAATGTATTATACCTGGAATATCGGTATACAATGGACACCACTGAGCCTTACTGAAACTACATCTACAATGTATTATACCTGGAATATCGGTATACAATGGACAACATTACCACAAACTACATTTATCTAATATCTAATATCACGAACAGACCATGAGGTCAGCAATATTTATACAATAAACGTACTGATACATCCGCCCTACGCTACATGATGTAAATATGCAGAGATAATGATTCTGGACTCTAACGTTTTATTGTACGACAAAAAACATTTTTCTAAATAAAATTGGATATCATCTGCCAGGTATACTATTACGCAATGCTAAACAAGTGTAACCATTCTAATGTCTTGGACACTTGACATTAAGTAATTTAGAACAGAGCTCACGAATCCACTTCTGGTCCTGGGACGATTGAGGTTTCCCGTCTACTATTCGTCTGTACTCAATGCAACTATACGTGTTCAACCAGCTGGGCACGCATGGAGAATCTGTAACAATCACTATGTTACTCAAGCAAATGTTTTTGTAGTTATCTCTTGCCAGTGTAACTGCAGTTTGGCAGTAGAAGGAAAATGTGTCTGAAAGGGTATCCATGGAGATATAGATGATGAGGGTCCGACTGTTTTCTATGATGGATGTAATACCTGATATCTCCAGCGACCCCGCGGCTACTGCATCGCCATTTCTCGTACAACGCAGTCCCAGGTATTCCATGCAGCTTCTCAGTCCCTCCGTGTCTGAACAGTCACTTTCAAATTCTTGAAGAATCATAACGTCAAAACATTCGGAGTCCTGGCCTGAACACACCGGATATGCAGTCTTAAAACTATTTTGGAAACATTCTTTCAAATATTCTTGTTGACACTGTTCTAGAAAACGCAGACCACATTCTAAAAACACATTGGTGCAAAATTCCTTCCTTTTTGAAATATCAGTGTTTGAATAAGTGCTCTGTAGAATATAAACAGTTGGAAGGACATTCTCGAATTCCTGCAGAGTGAGGTAACTTGTGATAATCCCTTCCAGGACCTCTACACCTGCTTCATGACCAGGGTATAGTGTCATCGCCTTATTATACATAGCCAGTGAAGACCTATACTTGCGCATCAGTCCTCGAAGCCTTGCCACTTCCTTCATACTGTTCATGCTTTCTGAATCCTCGCTGTCGGAGAGAAGAAGTTCCTCGAGTTTTGGCAGACACTGCCATGATTCAAATATATTTGAAGACTGCATGCCTGGTACTTCAATGACAGCTTTAGCAGCTTCTTCGATCGCCTTCGTCAACATTCGTTGACATTCTGTCTTAAAACGGTTCTGGTCCTGCTCTGTATATGCACGATCCACACTCATAGCACGATAGCACAGGCCAAGTTGCTCATAGGCATTAGCCTTCTCGAAAGGTAAAGCATATGGTTGGTCCTTTTGTATCAGTTTCCTGAACTGTTCAAGAGCATCCTGTGTTCTCCCCATCATGATGTTCAGCATGCCCAGTTCATACACAGCTTTTGTATTGCTTCCATTTGATATCTGGATTGACCGCTTGGTGTGGTACAGTGCCTGGTCCAGAGCATCTTCCGTATAGCTATTGTGGGCATCAGTACCTGGAGTTTCATCATTTTCATTGCCTCTAAAACCAGACGATATTGATGACCTTGCTCCCTCTTTCATACATGTTGACAATACATTTGAGTTTTTCGGCTTAATCTTTGCTTTATACAACATAGCTAACTGATAGTGAGCAAATGTTGAACCTTGCCTCTTTTTTAAAGCCTTAGTCAGGAGATCTACTGCAAGTCGATTCTCTCCAAGCTTGCGGAAATATTGCCCAGCCCTCTCGAGAACAAACCAATTATTAGCCACTTCATAGGCCTTTTTGTAACAATCACTTGGACTCATAATACGCTTAACATTGACACGTGACACGACTTCCTTGTTCAGTGGATACTCACAGTCATCTAACATCTTGTACAGTTCTCCAAGCTGAATATAGGACTTCCCAACTAGATCGGATGCTTTGCAGTTCTGCACAACTGTCACCATAAGGTTGATTGCACGAGTGATACTATCTCCAATGTCCTGCACAGGGTTTACAGAGAATATATACTGAGACAGGCATCGTCTGTACGTCAGGGCAAGGCCAAATATCAGCAAATAGTCTTCTGGATGTCGTTTGATAACATCCTCAAACAAATCAATTGCTCGATGATAAAACCTGGGGCCCATCCGGGTGTAGCTGTACGCTTTCTCTCCGAGTGCTGAATCATAAAGTGTTCCAAAACTACTTGATTGCCTTAATTTTTCTAGTCTTTCAAAACTAACATCAGCATCTATTCCATATCCTAACCAGGACTTGATATACACTCTGTTGGCAAGCGCAACAATATTATTTGGACCCTTCAGTAGGGCGCGTTGATTCATCTTCAATGCTTCCTCTGTGTCACCCAACTTAAACAGGAGAAGTGTTAAGAAATTTTCATTTCTCATTTCCTCGAACTCGGAGTCGAATGTTTCTTTTGTGCAGTTCTTGATAGCAGCTCTGCATCTTCTCTGACGGAGGGATACAAACTCTTCCAGTTGGAAGCTGTTTGGGAAGTCCTTCAGTCTGTCTTCATCCATCTTATTCTTCAATATTCCTCGACCTGAAGCAAACCAAAACGAGAGGGTATTGAGTGACATCGGTGTGCCTCATCAATAACAGCATTGTTTCATATCAGTATTCCTATCAATTGTAGAACACCTGTTTATCACAGTTAAAGAGTATCAGAAGCTTTCTGGATACTTTGGCAACACATCTCCTATCATTAATTGACATTAAAACAGCTGGTAAAACATTAACCTTTGCGACAGTCAAAATTCAAAGCCGTCTCGACTTTAAAATCTCGTCCTTGTGTAACAGCTAACAAATGTATACATGACGGTGTTTAGTTTGTACTACAGTCTGTTTGACAAGAAAGTGTCCCCATGAATTGCTAAATATATCAGTTTAGAAAGATAGTTATTAAATATTACGAGGCAAGATGATCATCAATAACCGATACCCAAACACCTTTTCAGCTTTTAGAAATTGTCATGCACCACAGAAAAAGTTGTTTAACAAACTACATGTATCATCATTATAAACATGATTGTTGACAGTTGGCATGGAGGGGCGCACGGCAGCAACGGGAATAGACAGGTGCATCTGATGCACGGCCATTTCGTGATAACTGCTGGGTGCTGATGACGAAATGAAGTTCACTGTACAGGCTTTTGCCCTCGAATCTATAGTGTTGCGGAATGACGTAGCATTAATATAACCATGTGTTAAAAGAACATATGGATGGAAAATATTCTAAGACATTAACTGATTGTAATTAAAAGATCCCTTCCAAAACGGAGTAGGCGCATCTATGCGTGTTTTATAAACAATCAAGAAAATAACACAGAGTATTTTACTGCCTTCCGTTTCCGTGTGATATATTCCGTTCAGACCAATACCTGTCGTCGTCCTAACGACGCTAAAACTCCTCTCCACTCACATTACACAGTATTCACTCGTCTCGCCTAGTCTCATGAGGCCTCCTACACGCTGACTGGGGGAACTTAGTTGCAAAATGAATTCATACCCGAAAACAACCCTTGGAGCTAACCAAATACCTTTCAAAAGTCCCTCAATTCAAATAAACATAAAGTGCACACTTATTGCCTTAACTGATATGGATCACATCCTAGATGGTATACAGGACAATAGCCTATGCAGTGCCATGTGGACTTCCTTGTAACATCTGTCAATGAAATAACACTGCGTAACGGACGCGACCTGCTGTAGTAATACTATTCCATGGGCTGGTAGATAATATCTCTGTGTTCTGATTTCGTATGTTTAGGTACACCGGGACACCACACCAAGGAGGCATTCAATCTGTTTTAGACCACACCGATACACACAGTTACTCTTAAAATCAGTAACGCTTTATATCCATCAATGTGAGATAGTGGATACAAATAAACCACTTCCGACAGATTACTATGTAGTTATCAATGGCTTCGTAACAACCTAGTCCACCCATCAACAGACCCGTGATGATCCGGGTAAGAATCGATCTTCAGTAACCCATGCGTATCATAAGAGCTAACTAACGGGATCGGGTGGTCAAGACTCGCTGACTTAGTTGACACATGATGTCATCGTATCCCATCTGCGTACATCGATGCTCATGTTGTTGATCACTGGATTGCCTGGTCCAGGCTTGATTGTTTACAGACCACCGCCACAGCTTGAATACTGCAGAGTGCGGCGTAAAACAACATACAAACAATCCACCCTTTAACAGGATGGGCTTATTAGAGTTGTCACATTTACGAAAGCACAATCTCATGTCCGGCTTTTTCCGTCAAGCATGAAGAGAAACTCTTTGTCAGATTGAATAAGACAGAATCAGAATTTGACATATACTCATAGGCGTATCCAGAGGGGGAGGGGCGCACGCATCCCCACCCACCCCACCCTTTTAAAAATTATCCTGTCATTATTAAATGACGTACCGTGAAAACAGGTGAAACTGAAGTGTGCACCCCTCCCACCCCTTTCCCAGAGTCTGCAAACCAACCCACCCCCTTCTCAAAAAGCTGTATCCGCCCCTGTATATACTCGCTTGTCTGAGGGCAAACACAATAACACCATAACATCGAGAATGTTCTGCGGTACACACGAGACGAAAATAGCACACACACTGTTACACAGCGTACTGGCTTCATGCAGGCGAGGGGCTTCCTACACTTGGGGAAACGCTGGCCGGCAATCAAAATCTAGTTAAAAATACAATGTACCACCCATTAATACAGTATGTAAGATGTCAACATAAAAAATAAACAAATTGTTCTTCGGTCGGGTCGTCTAGTATTTTGTCAAATCTGGGCTATGATCAGATCGTCACTGTGGACAAATTGAACACCAACCTTATTTTCATTGTTACCAGTCTAAACGCAGATAGGTATAAATCCGGAGATGAAAGCTCCAGTTTGTGTGGTAACTACATCGTCTGATGTCACTTTTTGTATAGAAATGCCTCGAAATGTGTCACTATCCGAAGACAAAACAATCAACTATTCCCCGTGTTGTTCCGATTTCTTCCTCTTCCGGAAGTATACGAAATTACGTAATGGAAAAAGCGCATGGCTAGCGTTTGTATTACGTAATCTTCACGTCCGGGATATCAGGCTGGTTCTCGGGGTCTGCTGCGCTTGCGCTTCTCACTAACCACGGCCTTTATTACTGGTACGCCTAATTATAGAAAAGTCCGAGAACGGGTGGTTAGAATTTTATCTTGGCATTTTCATCGATACTATGGCGAAGTATACGTCACCAGGCCAACGCCCATCGTTACTTTGGAAGCAAGGAAAGGTTATTCAAGCAGTTTCAAGACACAAAAGTCGTCGTTACACGGGAGAAAAGTAAACGATGACATACACCCCATTTTCAACACCGATATGTGCCTTGATATTGCGTGTCAGCTCGCTATTGTGTCGGAATCGTACACATAAAACATGATCCTGAATGACCACATTAATTAGATATCGTAAGCATCTTTATTTTAGCAACATTGATGACGAAAAGTCCCATAACTGCCATCGTTACATGGTCAGTTTAGCGGAACTATTTTTCGATCACCCAGTAAAATAACAGGGTTCGTCATTGCTTCTAATATTTAGCCTCTGGATTTTTGTTATATGAAAAACCATTTATCATGCATTTGTTTTCTAATGCATAATGAAGACATAATTGATCAATATTTCAATCCAATGGGTTTTTTTCACTGTGTGTCTGCTTATAAAATTGTCTAGTCTCTGTGGGATAATAATACGGAAAAATACTTTCATTAGTTTAAATTTTTTTCGGGCATATATAATTTGTATTTATTAAAAATGTATATACTTTGTTTCACAGAATGTTATAAAAGTTGGTTTCTGAAAGCGTTTGCAAAACAACATGAAAAACTCTTCATACATTATCATTAAAAATGTTTACGATTATAATAAACATGTCAGATGAAATTATCTGTGCACACAAACTCAACACAATAAATTTGACACATTATTTGACTAAACTGAATGTATAAACTTACATAGTATGCTACATAGTATGTTTGGCTTCAGACCAGTATCGGGGCGGTGGGGTAGCCTAATGGTTAAAGCGTTGGCTACGCCGATTTGCTGGGTACAATGTTTAAGCCCATTGGTGTCCCCGCCGTGATGTTTTATTGCTAAAAGCGGCGTAAAACCAAACTCAGTCAGTCAGTCAGTCAGACCAGTATCAGACTATACATTTGCTATTTATTGGTCATTTTTAGCATGATAATCAGGGGTTAATAAAACCGATCTGTTATAAGTGTTAAATCATATGATTTGATATCAGCAGTTATTCAGCCAGGTGACAATTAACTATAGCCTAGTTAAATGCTGCTATATATATGTTTTATACCAAATTTGACAGCAGTGCATGCATAAAAAGTTCAACATACATTTATTAGAATTTGCTCTGAATTTGTTGACCAGTTCAGTGATTTTAGTATGTAGAGGTTTCAAAACTGAATGTACACCAATCCCCAACCCACTTCTCCAACCCCAGTAAAAGATACGTTTGTTTTGTGTAAGACAATAAAACATGGATACATTATGAAACGTTAATAACTACGGAAGTTTCCAAGATGCTAAGTTAAATTTTCAAGATACTAAGTTGAATTTTCAAGATACTAAGTTGAGTTTTCAAGATACTAAATTGAATTTTCAAGATAGCAAGTTGAATTTTCAAGATAGCAAGTTGAATTTTCAAGATAGCAAGTTGAATTTTCAGCATAAAAGATGCTGAATAATAGCGTAGCGTGGCCCTAATAGGCTTCCGTAAATAACAGTTTGGGGGACCAAACATGTCACCTTGGAGTGTGTGTGTATATGTGTGTGTTTCAGACAACGCTATACATATACTTTTCTCTCCATGACTGGAGAGTAACCGACGCCCGGTAATAGACACCGACGATGAATGAACGTTTGCAAATGACGTTCTACATTTGTTGAATTAATGTTGAATAAAATTTGGTCTGGGCGTTTTTAGAGTGTTGGAGTGAAATATTGTTGTAGAGTATGAAAGGTTTTTATAAATGATAGATGATTCTGATGTGGTTTGTATTAGGTGATAAAAATATTATGACCCTCCCTTTCCATGTCTTACCCCGCATCATCCCGAGACGCCCATATCTGAGAGAGGCCGTTTGGCCAAGGTCAGATATGGGTTGAGTGTGTGAGTGTATGTGTGTGAGTGTGTGTGTGTGTGTGTGTGTGTGTGTGTGTGTGTGTGTGTGTGTGTGTGTGTGTGTGTGTGTGTGTGTGTGTGAGTGAGTGAGTGAGTGAGTGATAATCTCTACATATTCAGGAACGCAAGTTCATATAAAACTGTTTTGTTTCTCTCAATAAGTGATCTCCATTTTGTATCAAACAATCATGGAGTGTCTGGTCATCTAAAAAGGTCAATGTGATAAAATTCGAAAATTGCCACTGTGTTGGTATACATTTCAGTGATGAAAACCAGACTGATTATTTGAAACTCAGTTGAAAGTGTGTTTTTGTACATGCCGCGTATGCCACGTCAGGAACGGCTACGTGCAGTTAGCATGTTGGAAGTTGGAACAAGATACAGCATTGTGGCACGAGCTATTAACGGGGTCAATCGTTGATGCAGAACCAAGGGCGACAACTTGCGCACAAGACTGTTTCTTCAGAGTGATGTTATTCGAAGCCGTGAACAAAGTACCCTCATGAAGATGAGCTTCACAAAGCTGCAGGTGAGTGAGTAGACGAGCGTTTCGTAATCGGATACACAGATGGATTCTGCATGCTTGACGTCCACGTGTTATAGCACAATTAAAGGATCGGCAAATACGACGTCGTTGGTGTCAAGAGCGGCACCGCTGGACCGATCATAGTTGGGCCAAAGTTATGTTTTCGGATGAATAAAGGTTAACTTTGGACTTCTCTGACGTGCACAACAGAGTATGGCGTAGACAGAATGACCGTTTCCGTTAGGGCCAGAACGATCGTTTTCAGGGTGGCTCAGTAATGGTGTGTCAACAACCACCGGTCACTCTCATCGAACTTGGCGCTGCCCTGCATGAAGAAGGGGATGGAATGGCCCAAGCTGACATTGGACATTTAAATAAGACTATGCCTCTTAGAATCCGGGATTGTCTTGAGAATGGAGGCGGATATTAATGATTTGAGTTTTCACTGTAAATGACGTGATAGACGTTATCTGGGGATCATCGTCTAATGCAAATCTGTCATGTGTCCCTGGTACACTATTGAACTATTCATCCCACAAATACATAACATATACATAGCTTGGACACCTTTTTATTGAATATCCCTACATTTTGAAACCCATTTCTGGTGTCCCCCGCCGTGATATTGCTGGAATATTGCTAAAAGCGGCGTAAAACTAAACTCACTCACTCAATTGTTGATGTTTAATTTCACATAAATTGATGTAATCGAAAAACATCTTCAGTACCCATCTTTCCAGATATTTAATGGAGTGCAGATTACAAACCCATACCGCAGGGAGAAACTGTTTACATAGGTGTGGGGAATTGTCACTCAGGTGATGGGGAATTGTCTGGTGGGGAATATATATTATTCAAAAGTCTTTAAATGGTCCATTGACTATACATTAGATGTCTATTATTGGGCAAAAGTATCCAAGTGAAAGCTACGCTGTTTGAACCTGGCTTATCACCCCCACCCCCAACTGTCTGAACTGTCTGCTCGTTTGTATAAAATTTATATATATTAGGACTATAGACTATATTCATAGAGCCTGCAAGAGAAAGAGCCAACTTGAGCAGACTTCAATATACAGTGTAGATCGTCGAGGTATGTACCTCGAAAGCAAATTTAATTGAATCTTCTAATGCTTGGCGACTCATTCACATATGGGCTGGTTTTGGTGGAATATAATCCCCAAGCTTGCCCCAAGCTTAGCCGTACTATTCACTATCTTATTTAAATGATATTCCCTTCCCTTTCATCACATATACATGTAGTGGGGAAAAGCCAGTCAATTTGTGTTTTGATCATAGTCCATTTATAATCATCAGTGATGGTAAGATTGTACATTGTGTTTTTACTGGGTTCTTTAATTTCAACATCATTCAAATATCCTAGATCAGGTACTATACCAGTAGGTTTTAAATATATCTTCTTCCTGCTTGTATAGACTAGCTTGTAAGCGTAAGGCACATAACTTGTCTTCAACATATGAAGTGTTACACTCAAATATAGAATCTTTGATATCTATAATTATACCTGTCTTAATCTTAATTTTGGGATACCGTAATGATGAGAAGGATTCTATACACCGTAAGAGTGTCAGAATGGTGGTAAGATAGCATGCATCATACTCGGCTTGACGGCAACTGCGCTTCTCGCAACAGGCAGTACATAGCAATATGGCGGTCAGGGGAATCAGTGTAAGTTTGTGTTGGTGGGAAAACAGGTTACTTGTGATAAGAGGTGTATGGGTGATTGTACACAAAATAAGTCCTCGTTGACCTCGAGTTCACCAGGCTTGTATAAATATCTTACATTCTATCTGGACATTTTGTTCTTTACCTCTCCGTGGCTTTACAGATTCAGGAGTCACAGAATTCATGTTGATAGCATGGGACAGTTTCTTGCCAAATACCCTTGTTACCTCCTAGTTAGCGCCGACACTACAGCTGAGAGTCGTGTCACCCAGTCGGTTGATCAGTCACCATGATCTCCTGACCATAATGACGTAAAGCGTTCTGTTAATATTCGGTTAAATCATTCAGCGATAGCCAGGCTACAATGGGTCTCTTCTTCACCCTGCCTGATTATAACATCGGCTGGTAGTTTACTTACTGATCCCAACTCGCGTGCATGATCTGCTCTAATTGTTTGACCATTCTAATTGTTCACGGTGATTTATATGGGATCCAGTGCATTAGTTCCTTCAGGTGAATCTTTGATGTTAGTGGATCTACTTCTTTACATTCAGAGGCTGCATCCATATTGCTTGTTTCTTTAAAGCTTAGATGCAACCAACAAAATAAACATAATTAAAACACAATTATTTTTTATTTATGACATATAAT